GTGCTTATTTGACCTTCTCTCTGAAGCAAAATGCTATTTAATTTATTCTGACTATCAAATACTGTGCTCGTGTCCTTGGCCTTCATAAACGATTTCTCAGTTTACTAGTGAACCTATATAGAAAAATCACATTTGTTCATTGCAGTAAAATAGAACATGAAATTTACCATTTCAACCATCTTTAGGTGTACAATTCAGTAGCATGAAGTACATCCACACTGTTGTGCAACTATCACCAACGTCCATCTCCAGAATATTTTCATCTTGCCCAACTGAAACTCTGCAACTATTAAACAATATCCACCTTTCCCCCTCTCCCCAGCCCCCAGCAACCAGCCTTCTCTTTTCTGTCTCCATGAATTTGACTACTCATAGGTACCTCATGCAGTAGAACCATACAGTGTTTGTCCTTCTGTTTCTAGCTTATTTCAAAAATTACAACTTTTAAATTGAGGGCAACATTATAGAAGGAAATGGTTGGTATTTTTAAAGACACGGCCCTCAATTCACTTCCCACTTCTGCCACTTACTACCTCTGAGTTTTCAGGGAAAGTCCTCTAAATCTATTTTCTCATCAGCCCCAAACAGTGGTATAAAATCTGGGTTGTGTGACTGTCCCGAGGACTGCTATGTCCTCAGCGTGGTATATGTTCTCAACTGATTGCTCAATGGATAGCATTTCCTCTCCTAGCTACCAAACCTGAGGAATTTGAAATAAGTGCAGATATCTAGCTTTCAAGTTACTGAAATCTTAAACTACTGCTTATGCACCTATCAGATATGAACTCGAACAGACTCTTGTTAAAATGGGATGAATAACAATATCTTCCTTAAAGGTTTATTGTGGTAATAAAATAAGATTAAATATGAGACTCTGATGCATCAAATTCAATAATGGTTGATCCAATCTCAACGAGAGGAATTCCAGCCTGGCATCAGATGATCTGGGATCCACATGATGAAAGTGATATGGTTGTTGGCCTCCCCAAGATGAGAGAGAAGGAAAGATGATGTAGTATTCATAGCATAAAAGGAGAGGAATATGGGCACATAAAAAGTCTTATATTTCCTGCAATAAAAATAGTATTGAATAGAAACACATGCTTGATAGAATTTTTTATTTTATTGTTGGGATAAAAACTAAAGGTCATCTACATCAATATTATCATTTCATGCAGCTGGTAATGGCTCTTACCCCACATACCCAACTCCTTTTTCACCAAATAGACCGCTGTTTGTTTTACTATATCCCTGGAAAACTATCCTTATTCTTGCCTTTCACCCGAGGTAATGAAGCTTTCTCTTGCACTAGCATATTAACAGTAGTAGTAGTAGTAGTAGTAGTAGTAGTAGTAGTAGTAGTAGTAGTAGTAGTGTCATTTTCATTATTATTAAGTTCCATTCTGCTTCTACCATTTCCAAGAGGGCTTGATCCCCAAGAAACTAGGCTGAGTTGTAGAGTCAGCAGAACCTAACTTCTAACTCACAGAGTTACAAGATGTTGGGACCTGTTCCCAATGACAGGGGAAAGGCAAGATATCTGAGTTTTTAGCTTGACTACCTGAAGAAATGTATCTACAACAAAGGGCACACTGAAGCCAATCAATACAAATATTTAATGTTACATATATTTAAAAGTTTTAGATGAACTAACACATAAAATCATAGAACACACACACACACACACACATCTAAGTCAGAGCTTAAGACAAAAGTTCTGAACTCAGTAGTGTGGTGGACTGGATAATGGTCCTCAATTACATCAGGTCCCAATCTCTGGAATCTGCCAAAGGCTACTTTATATGAAAAAGGAGTCTTTGCAGATGTAATTAAATTAAACATACTGAGATGTGGAGCTTACTCTGTAATCACATTTTGCCTGATAAGAAAGAGGCTGGGGGAGATCTGACACAGAGGAAAAAAAAAGGTAACATGAAGACAGAATGGAGAGAGATTTGAAGATGCTGGCCTTGAGGATCAGAATGATGCAGCCACAAACCAAGGAAAGCTCGCAGCCAAAAGAAGCGGGAAGAGGTAAGACAAGTATTCTCCCCTAAACCCCTGGATGAGGTGCAGCCCTACTGACACTTTGATTTCAACCTGGTGATACCGATTTTGGACTTCCAGCCTTTAGAGCTATGAAAGAACAAATTTCTGTTGCTTAAGCTACCAAGTCAACGGAAATATGTTTCAGCAGCAATAGAAAACTAATACAAACTGCACTAAAAAGAAAACCAACACAATTTCTTCTCTCATGGATCTGACAGTCTAGAAAAGAAGACAGAAAGTTGGACAAATACTGACCGTAACATATGATGGTTGATAGGATATGAAAGAAAAAGTGCTTACAGAACATATTACCAGGAGGCCTAATCAAACATTGGAGGTCAGAGAGTACCACACTGAAAGTGCTTAACGTGGGATCCAAAGATCTGAAGTTAGTAGCCGTTACATGATAAGGTGCAGGGTAATCATGGAAGTATGTTCCACCCTGTGCAAGAGTCCATAGACAGCACTGCATATTCTAGCCCTGAAGATACCCCAGTGAGCCAGACCCTGGAGCAAACTGGGAGAGAATGAGGTGCAGAGGCAAAGACTGTGTAATGCAAGGACTAGTAACTGTGCCAAGGGACTTAGAGATCATCTGAAAAGCAATGGAAAGCCACTCAAGGTTTTAAAGTCAGGAGATGATGTATCAGATTTCAGTTTTTAAAGTGGATAATTTTTATTTCAGTGCAAAGAATTTATGGAATTGAACTGGAACAAAACCAATTGGAGAGACTGTGGCTGTTATTCAGGCAAAAGATCACTGTGGCTTTTACCAAGACAAAAGACAATGACAGTGATCAGACAGCTCTCCATTATTCAAAACCTTCCCAGTGCTGGGATTACTTTTCTATTTCCAAAAGTTTCTTAAAGAACATGCTTACACAGTACCTCACAAGTAAATTTATTCTTTTCATTCAACAGTGTGATGATAGACACTGCAGAAACAAAAAGATGAACAGAAAACGGTAACTGCCTCCATTGTTCACAATATTAGAAATAGATATGCTAGATATTATACATGGGTACAATAATATCCATGTGAATGATGTGGTTAGCATTTATTGAGTGCCCGTTATATGTTAGGTGTTTTGTTTGGCCTCTAAATAGGTGCAGTGATGAAAACAGAGAAGGACCTTGTACAAAAGGAGTATATCTTCTAAACAAAGTACTTCGAGAGTAGAGAGATGCAAGTAGATACTGGGTAATGTGCATTGGAAGATAAAGGGAGTCATATCTTCTCCCAGGCCAGGGGAGTGGATGGCAAAATTGAAGAAGGCTGCTAAGGCAAGGTGACCTGTGACTTGAAGTTTGACAAATGAAGAGGAATTCATCAGCTAATGGGGAGGAAAGGGCATAGACAGCAGGGCACAGAAAATAATGATTCAGAGATGAAAAAGTACCTAACATCATCAGAGAATGGGGAACGATTTATGTAGCGGAAGCATTGTAAATTGGAGCCAGATTCTGAAGAATCTTGAATGCCATGCAAAGCAATTTGAGCTCCAAATATTTTTAGCCAACCAGGTATAACCTTTATTTTTTTCTGGTCCAGCTGAATCTGTTAATACCCACAGACAGCAGAACACTCAGCGTACTATAGGTCACTTGATTAATCCAGTGTAAGCCATGCTCCATCTCCACAATGAACAATTAAAATAAATAAAATGGTTTTGTGCTGTGGGATGAGACTCACTCTTTAAAAATTTTCTAGCTAGTAATCAAGTATACCAGGGGACAAAGTTGATTCTGTATCCTTGAGTTCTTATGGTGTTAAGACAGTTTCAGGCCAGTCTTGTCTAGACCTGTGAAGCCAACCTGTATGACCACTTTAGTCTGTTCTGGAACTCAGGATTTTTATGGTTGTGAAACCTTGCAGTACATTTAAAGGACAAGCTGACAATAAATTGCTGGGGTAAAACTAAAATAATGCAAGGATTTCATTTCATATTTATGTCCACCTTTATGGTGCTTTTAAAAACGATGACTTTTCCTTTACAAAAGCTTTTGCAGCACCTTGGCATCAGGTGAAAATAAGATACCTTTTGTGGTTCCCTAACTAATAATTTTATCAGCCATTTAGCAATTCAGCTTCAAGCTTCTGCAATATACTTGCTAACCTTTAATTAATATAAAGCCTTTACCTTTCTTCTCACAATGAAAGATAAGATCATTGTCACATGTCAAACAATAGAAAGTTAATTCTGTTTGCCACTGTTTTCTGTTAGAGTGAATATTGCATTTCTTTCCAAGTAGAATATTTATATCAGAATAATTTTACAGCTACATATAACGATAATCTTTCTTCAGAATGATGAATTTCGAAGGCCAAGACTTGTATGATAAAATCTCACTATATAATTTAATGATCTAGAAGAATGGTCGGACCGTTGTTGAATTTATGGACTCTTTGTGTATTAAAAAGTAGACATGAGCTCAGACTTCTCCAGTGATGAATAGGTACAGGGGCATGAACAGCAACTATTCATATAAGGCCAGGGTCTCTTCAAATCATTCCATCTTTGGGTCAAGATGTACACAGACTATTGCAAATTCTCTCATCACCTATTAAAAATGTAAACACTATGAGGTGGTAAAGCCCATTGCTTAAAAGAAAAGTTTCATGGCTTCTTGCCCTTAGCCTGCAGACCTCTTGTGGGATGATGTAATCCTGGGCACAAACTGGCTTTTAATGTGATGTAGGTCACACTTCAAGCAGACTCGGGAGAGGCCCAAGGGCACAGGCTATCTTTCACTGTCAAAGCTAGGTTCAGGCTTGATAGTATGATCAGCATGAATGACTCTGGAACTTTGGGCAAAAACAACAGCCAGTCATGAGCAACTGCACCTGAGAGCTGTTTTAAATTCAGGGATACTGCCCTTGACTTTTAGAAAATATCAGTTCCCTCTTTTTCATGCATGATGACTTTCTTTTTCTTTTTTCTGGTGAACAGGGTGAAAACAAAGCAACGTAACACTGCATCAAGATGCGCAGCTTATAAAAGAAAACGAGCCAATAAATCAGATGATTTGCTGTAACTACACAAGGTCAAATTGCAAAACAGATTGACTTTTCTCCACTAACTGTCCAGCTTAGGACTTATAACAACTGAACCCTCGGGGAATTATTTTCAATCTTTACAACAGAAAATAATTAAAACATTAACTCTCTAAACAGGCTGAAAATAAAATAACCAAAGACCAAACATCAAAAAACTAAAAATCAGACACCAACAAATGTCCTCTCAAATGGTACTTAAAGTAGAATTTGCTTCCTTATTTTTATAACTTCAACAAAAGGTATCAGGAATACTGAGCAGGTGAGTGAAGTCTAGACCAAAACCAAGGGAAATACAGGTAAGATAAGCAAAGTGAATACAATAGAACTGGCATTTATTACGCAGCAAGTATGTGCCAATGAATGTGCCAGGTCCTCCACATAGTATCTCAACTTTACACATACAACAGTTCCATGAGATGGATATTTTAATCTTTGTATTACAAATTAAAACTTGAAGTATAGCAAAGTTATATAATTTATGCAACCATACACAGATACTAAGGGTTTAGGTGCAGCTGTGGGAAAGTCCTTGTTGTTTTCCGGGATTTCATGCTGCCTCCTCCATCATCTTGTCATCTGATATCCAATCCCACTCTCATCCCAGTGTCCAAAGCCTAAGTGAGCACAAATTGCAAATGATTGTTGGACTTTAAGCTTCAAAGGGGATGCAAGAGAGCCAGAGATGTGGGTGGGTGGGGTTGCCGAGAAGATCTACTAAATGCAAACTCCATTTCTCATCTGCGAGGTTACATGTGGCCAGCATCCAGCAACACTGCACTTTCCCCCACACCTGCCCTCTAACATTTCACTGGACCCATCTCTGAGCACTTGCCAGAGTCCTTTGCTCCTTTCTGAGGCCTCTACAGTCAGCTAGGGACAGAAAAGGAGGTGAGGGAACGCAGATACTGTGCTGGGGTTCCACACACCCCCAGCAGGCTAGAACTAAAGACATTTTCATGCTTACCAAAAATCCCAAACTTTCTCAAGTTTGGTTAAAAAAAACAAATTTGAAGAAAAACAGAATCCCTGGAGATAAGATGACTTGTTTTAGAAAATGCATTCAGAATTTATAGTTTTCAATAAATGAACCAAGAATTCTATAAAGCAAGACTTTTTCAAACTGGAAAGAATGCCCCACAACATTAGCAGTTTTGTCTCTGGGTTCGCAAAAGCACTAATTATTCTTTTCCAAATGCTGTCAATTTTACATTTTCTAAAATAAGGACTTCTTATTTTCCAATGGAAAAAATAAGAATAAATTTCACTTGAAAAAGCAATAGTTAAAAGTTTCCCTTCTGACAATTTCACTCTGAAAGAACTTTTAGGAAACACTGTGATATATACGCTGTGCGATATTGCTTTTAAGATTATCTTAAAATCTTCAAGTGGATTGAGATTGAGTTTCCTTGGTCAATAAATTTCAGTTCACGGAGGAATTTTCCTCAAGGCTTCTTGGCAGAAATCTTACATACTTTTCACCTTTCCTTGGGAGAGTCCTGGGCAGGGCTCTTCCTCATATGTTCCTATCTATCAATTTCTTACATTTGACAGAGATACCACAGGACAAGAATTCAGCTTTTCAACCCAAACTGCCCAAAGCCAGCACATGTAGCTCCTCCTAAATCACAGAAAAATGCCTGAAAAAGTCAAGAAGAAGCCAAATTAAGGGACAGACAGTGAATCACCCAGAGAAAAATGTAAATAGCTCTTATGTCAATTATGTTTAATTTTTTCTTAATTTTAGAATAGTTTTACATTTATAGAAAAATTACAAAGAAGATACAGAGTCCTCATATAGCCTACACCCAGCTTCCCTTATTATCCATCTGATATCCAATCCCACTCTCATCCCCATGTCCAAACCTAGGTGAGCACAAATTGCAAATGATTGTTGGACTTTAAGCTTCAAGGGGGATGAAGGAGAGCCAGAGACGTGGGTGGGTGGGGTTGCCAAGAAGATCTACTAAATGCAAACTCCATTTCTCATCTGCGAGATTACATGTGGCCAGCATCCAGCGACACCGCACTTTCCCTCACACTCGCCCTCTAACATTTCACAGGACCCATCTCTGAGCCCTTCGCAAGAGTCCTTTTATATTTTACATTAGGGTGGTACATTTGTCACAATAAATGAAATAATATGTATATATTATAATTATCTAAAGCCCGTAGTTTTTCCAGATTTCCTCGATTTTTTACTTACGGTTCTTTTCTTTTCCAGGATCTCACACATAGGCCATACTACATTTTATCATCGTGTCTCCTTAGGCTCTGCTTGGCTGGGACAATGTGTCAATTACATTTTAACCTTTCGAAACCTGGAAGAGCTAAAGCGATGCTGATGTTGTTGTTGTTAAACACTTTACAAACTTATGTATGACCAGACATTCTCAGGAAGGTATCTGAATCCCTAAGACATATGTAAGTTACCAATATCTACTTAAGTGCTAAGAAAATTAGAAAACAAAAGAAATGCCCAGCATATTCACAGATCAATGAGTGTGCTTTATTTCATGCAGCTGTCTGATAACTTTTAGATGGAGAAGCCCATCTGGTTGAATCTGGTTGACATCCAGTGCATTTTAAAAAGCAGAATTCAAAGACAGTGCTGGTCCGCCCCACAGGAGAAAACAGAAATCTGTCAAATGCCTACTGTTGTAAAAGAAACAGAATATACAGTGTCATCTGGCACACAGCACCTAGCATAGTGCCTGGCACATGTGTTGAAGGAAAAAATATAAATGAATAAATGCAGTCCTAGAAGTGACTGTGGAGAGGGCCCCCACAGCAGAACTTCATTTCAAAGGCTGAGATGATTCATGTGCAAAGTGAAATCTACCAACTCTAGAAGAGCAGAAACTCGGGGGACTGTGATTTTTTTTTCAGTCAAGCTTATGATTTTAAAAAGATATACACCATAGAGGTGAAGGGCATATCATAAATTGCTTCTACTTACTAGTTGTGGAGACTTTAGGAGAGTTATTTAAAATCTTTGAGAGTTAGTTTTCTCATTTGTATAATGCAGATGGTAATAGTTCCTATGTAGACTTGCTGAGAGAATTACAGAAGAAAATGTCCAATTTAAGAGCAGTTGCTTGAGTAAAATGGCAAAAGATATCTTCATCATCATTATCATTATCTTCATCATCATCTTTGCTAATGTCATTGTCAAAGACGAGAAAACACTCATTTTAATTGCTACTCAAGGCTATCACGTGCAAAGTAGGGAGTATTTTCTAATTGCCTTCTCTCTACCATCATCTCTCTCCAGCACAGAATTTTCACTTCTGAAGCAACTACATAATATCCTGTCATCTGTCTGGCAAATTTTTAACCATCCTTTGAAGTGCACTCAAAGAGCAACTCTCCTGAAAAGCTTTCCTATGCCCCTCCTTTGGGCTCCCTAACAGCAGCTTAATATCTCCATAAAACTCTTATTTTAGATATTTAAATTCTGCCTCACATATATGCCTCTGACCACTTGGTTGGGAGTTATTGAAGATCAGGGATGGAAATGTGTTCATCTCAGTACACCCAGCACCCAGCATACAGTCAGTACTAGTTTTCAAGGACTGCTGTAACAGCGTACCACAAACTGGATGGCTTGAAACAACAGAAATTTATTGTCTCACAGTTCAAGTCTCAAAGTCTAAAACCATGATGTCAGCAGGACCATACTTCTGAAGTCCTGGGAAAGAATATTTCTACGGCTCTTTCTGTTTTATGGTGTTGCAGGCAATCCTTGGCATTTCTTTCTTTTTTTTTTTTTTTTTTGATGAGGTCTCGCTCTGTCACCCAGGCTGGAGTGCAGTGGCGAATCTCGGCTCACTGCAAGTTCGCCTTTCCAGGTTCACGCCATTTCTCCTGCTCAGCTTTTCCAAGCAGCTGGGACCACAAGGCGCCCACCACCATGCCCGGCTAATTTTTTGTATTTTTAGTGAGACGAGTTTCACCTTGTTAGCCAAGATAGTCCGATCTCCTGACCTTCCTGATCCACCCAAACGTGGCTCCCAAAGTGGCTGGGATTACAGGCCGTGAGGCCACCTGCACCCAGCCTTTGTTTTTTTTTTTTTTTTTGAGATAGAGTCTCACTGTGTTGCCCAGGCTGGAGTGCAATGGCATGATCTCAGCTCACTGCCACATAGGTTAAAGTGATTCTCCTGCCTCAGCCTCCTGAGTAGCTGGGATTTCAGGCATGCACCACCACACCTATCTAATTTTTGTATTTTTAGTAGAGATGGGATTTTACTACGTTCCTCAGGCTGGTCTCAAACTCCTGACCTCAGGTGATCCACCAGCCTCTGCCTCCCAAAGTGCTGGGATTACAGGTGTCAGCCACTGCGCCTGGCCAATCCTTGGCATTTCTTAACTTCCAGCTGCATAACTCCAACCTCTGCCTCTGTTTTCACAAGGTGTGCTTCCCTCTTTGTGCCTATGTCTTCATATGGCATTCTCTCTGGTTGTCTGGTCCAAGAGTGCTTCTCCTTTTCTTATCAGGTCACCAGTTATATTCCATTAAGGGCCGACCCTATACCAGTACAACCTCACCTTACCTTACATCTCAATTACATTTTCAAAGGCCCTATTTCTAAATGAGATCACATTCTCAAGGACCAAGGGTTCTTTAACTATCAACCCACAACACTGCCTAGCACACAGCAGGTGTTCTGTGATGTCCTAATAAAAGAGTGGATGGATCAATGACTAAATAAACAAATCTAGCCTTCTGATAACCAGATATAGACATTCAGGTGGTAGCTCATTCTTCTGTAACCACAACTATGCTTTAAAATCCTGTGGTTTCTTGGCACTCACAGAAGTCTGCCATTTAAAATCTATGATTAGATAATCCTGTGATAAATCTCTCAGTAAGTCCCTTCCAGGGTCCTGTATTTGTATCCAATTATGAAAAACCCAAGCCAGGGCCTCAAAGGCATAATTTTAAAACCATTTTTTTTTCTTTCTGAGTTAGCTACCACAGAGAGCATACTAATTATATAAGTCTCCTTTCACCTGTAGAACGTTCTAACCTGAAGACACACCACTTCTTTGTAACCACATCCAATTTGGAGAGCAGAAGAAATTGACAAGATTCAAGACAGAAGCCTGCTACTAGCTTTTCTCAGTTCTTAACTTTTAACGTATGTAATTAACTGCTTCATTTTTCTCACCTTTTCCACCACAGTAGAGTAAAATGAAAGGAAGTACTGCAAATTGTACAAAAACCTAAGGCTTATGATACACTGGATTTTGACTTGCGCATTTCCATTTCCTTCATCTCACTTCAAAATCATAAGGAGGTGGCAATGGCTTCCAAGGTATTGAACCCAAACTCCTATTAGATGTTTCATTTTCTTGGCCAGCATTAGCCCTTTCCTCAAAGCTTACTGACTTACGCCCCTTCTCCCTACACAGGATTTTCCTCAAGCCGGTAAATGAAGAGTATAGGCACAGGCAGTCAGCTTTTTTTTGAGACGGAGTTACACTCTGTCACCCAGGCTGGAGTGAAGTGGCGTGATCTTGGCTCACTGCAAGCTCCGTCTCCCGGGTTCACACCATTCTCTTGCCTCAGCGTCCCGAGTAGCTTGGACTACAGGTGCCTGCCACCACGCCCGGCTAATTTTTTGTATTTTTAGTAGAGACGGTGTTTCACTGTGCTAGCTAGGATGGTCTCGATCTCCTGACCTCGTGATGCGCCCACCTCAGCTTCCCAAAGTGTTGGGATTATAGGCGTGAGCCACCGCGCCTGGCGAGGCAGTCAGCTTTCTAAAGCTCCTGTTCTTCATCCCGCT